AATAAACATCTTTCGACCTCCCACACTGTGATCTTAATTCAAACTAAGAAAGAAATCTGCTTGTATTCTTGTTAGATTTTGCTTTTACTCTTGGCTGAGATGTAAACGCTACTGATAATCCCCATTTCCCCTCTCACTTCCTTCTTGGTTTCCATTTTACACCTTACCTTTTTGATTTTTAAATGAAATCAAGTCATTGTTATTTCTGAAAATTTATTTTAAATTAGTGCAGTATCTGGATTTAATAGCAGTGTCCAAAACATACATATACAGTATGCTGATCTTTTTCCTGTAAACACAGACTAGATGACTTTTGGGAGGAGACTGAAATTTTGCTTATTTGTAGTATTTGTTGAACTGCATCCAAGAACTATAGCAAGGTGGTTAAAATTACAGAAAGGAAGATAAGGGAGAAATACACATGAAGGGCTAGGAGTGAATATTGTTTTTTTTTTCAGAGGAGTCGGAGAAATACTGTTGGAAGGGAGGTAGGAGGAGCAGGAAGGGACTCTGCAGTTACAGCAGAGACATGCCAGAAACCAGACAGCTTTTGGTGTGTAATTGGGAAAGGTCATTTGGGGTGGTTGCTTTGGAATTGTACATCTGCTGGGTTGCCATAAGAAGTACTTGAATGTAAGAAGCTTTTTATTGAGGCTTCAAAATAGCACTGTTGTGCTTATCATGAGAATAGGGGCTATATATACACTTATTTACTTTTCCTGTACTGAGAAATACTTCAGACTGCTGGACTACTGAAGCTGATATGATCTTGTTGCTCTGCAGTTGACTAGTCATGGAGAGGTAGGAGCCTGTGAGGAAAAGCGAGCTTGTGCGGTGTTGCACGCATTTCATGCTGAGGATCCATTCTTCTCCCATCAGCTGACAGTCCTGAATTCTGTGGAATTTTTGGCCAGATAGTCTGTGTAATACACTGTCAAAGTGACAGCTAGAAGAAAATGTCACTTGGGCCTAGTCACGCACAGCATGTATGTGCTGTGCTGTAGATTGGCTGTTTCAGCTGTTATTTCACATGAATTTGTCTGAGCTCTTAAGCAGGGAACACCTGACTCCTAAAATAGTGCACGGTTTGGTTATGTATGCTCCCCTGAATGTAAACTCCTCTGACAGCCTGCTGCCCATGTTTTATGGCCTCTCATGCCTTCGCAATAACACTTAACATCTGCGCCACAAAATTTGTAACATCAATTTGTTCAAATAAAGAATCCACCAAGCATTTAATCCTTGTTTTAATGGTTGATGTTTATTTTAGTTTGGGATTTTGTATACTCGTGGAGCGTTTCTCTGCCCATAGTCCATAAATCACAAAGGGCAGGAGTGAGACTGCTCTCTGTGCTGGTTTGTTTCTGAAATGAGGCTCTAGAGATTTTTATTATTATTATTGCTACTTCTGTACAGCTCACTTATCTCAGGTAGGAGTTGCAGATGTGTTTAATGAGGGTTTTTTTTTTTTTACTGTTTCTCATCTGCTCCTCTTCAAATATCTCTGATACAGAATGCTTTTTGCTGTAAACCTTATCTCTTTTTGTTCTGTTTCTGATTGTTTATCCATGAAATTAGTAGTTTTGTGTTTTGTCCATGCACTTGATTATGCTGGAAAATTGTTTACGTGTGTGGGAGGCAGGAAGATGCAAATAGAGACCACTCAGAAAATAGCTTTCTGTGAATGCAGAAAGGACAAGACTAAAGAAAAGTTACCTTATAAAGAATTTGCAAACTTGAAAGAAGAAAACAAAAAGAGGGGACTTGCGTTTGAGTAGTTTGTGTTGCTTTGCTATACCTCCTAAGTAATGTATCATTAATGGCTACCTGAGCTCTTAGTAGGCTTCTTGGAGTCCACTGCACTTTGCCTGCTTAAGTTCTCAGTAAGGTTGTGGTTAGAGATTGTTAGGGAGAGAATGAGGGTAAGAGTCCAGATTCTTGATGTTAGGTCACTTTGGCTGTGTTTCTAGCTGAGCCTATGGGGTGGTAGTTTTCCACACACAAGTTCTAATCCCTGCCACCCAGTGGAAAGCAGCCAATCCGCAATTTCAAGTAAAATATGCAAAGGGATGGAGTCCAGAGCCTTTGTGTGAACCGAGACTCCCCAGCAATTTGCCAAAGGTCCCTTTGCTGCTGCTTTCCAGAAATCACACTTCAGAGTTTTGTACAGCTGCTTTCTCCAAAGAGGAGCTGAGTGGAATGGGCAAAGCCTTGCCAGTTCCCTCATCTGCCTCTGGAGGAGGGACTGCACCAGGCAGTTGTATGGCAAATGACCATGGCATGACCTTTTCTCCACAGAATGCAAATTGCAGTCTGGCATAGTGGCTTCCTTACAGACAAAGTGGTTTCTTTTCAAAGATAAATTTTTGAAGTGGAAACCGTGAGGGCTCTAAACTTGTTGTCTTCAATTAAAGCATTTTTCATTACATATTCAAGGTTAGGCTGAGACTTACTTGAATGAAGGCCTAGATCCTCATAAGAGCAAGATTCTCTGGAGGGAAGAAATTTATACCAGCTGAAAACAACAGAGAGTTAGCAAAGCAAGAATTTGATGAAGGAATTTTGCTGTTTCCGAGAAGGTTCTGGCCGGCAGCAGCAAGACCCAGAGAGTCAGTGTTCTTACTGGAATCATCTTCTGCTTCTCTGATTTCCAAACCCACCTTGTACCTCCCCATTATTTAAATGATAACCTTGAAAATCCTGTAGCGAAAGATGCAATTCTGCAGAGGGAGGGAGGTATGGGCCCATGAATTGAGTGGAACAGAATGAAAAACAACAACAACCAAAAAGAGCATGGGGGGCTATTTCACAGAAGCTTAAGTCATCTCTGTTTCATACCTGGCAAGTCAAAGGTGTGCTCACCTCTCTTTTTTTCTAATAGTTTGTTTTATTTTTTTGCCTTTCTTGAGTACTTAGAAATATAAAGATTCCCTGTTCTGAGGCAGTTTTGTCTGCAGGCCTTGTGAAAAGAAGCCTTGAAACTTGATAATTTTAATCTTTGATTCTAGCTCTCATTATTTATGAGCACCTCAGGATTTTTTTTTCTTTTTGCCAAGAGGCTCCTGCCTGTCTTGTCTGACCCAGGGGGAACATTTCCAAACCCTTTTTCAAAACATTGAAATCAAATTTCATAGTCGTCGTCTCAGTTTAAAATATATTCCAAGTGTTGACAGCTGATGCCTTGGGCACAAAAGCACGTACAGAGCAATGCTGGAATGACTGATAGGCAACTGAGAACAGGGATGAAATGGGTGTCTGCAAATGTGCCTATTGACAAGTCAGAAAATAGGATAAAAAGAAGACAGCATCCATTTCATCATGGCTTTGGGACACCTACAGCTGGTAGAGGTGGTCAACTTGAATTCCAGGAGGTCTGGGAAACTGTGGATCTGGATGCTAGAGAATCTACCAGGTTGGGAAATTCAAGCAGAATTATGTAAAACAGCTAGTAAATAAGCTGTGGGATTACTGACCTTAGATCAGTGCTCTTTGTGCTGCTTACTAAGAGAAGGTCTCAAAATAAGTCTGCAGAAAACTAAAAAGAGACTAACTGCTTTGGGGAAACAAGCAGCACGTGTAATGAGATGAGGTATCTGTCTGATCATCCAGAATGTTTTATCCTGTGTCACTTTTGTGTTGTCTGTTACCTTTACAGTGTTTTGGGACCTCTTCTATGTTCTGCTACCTTTTTCACTGGACGAAATTAGTGCTAACAGCAGTGTCAGTATCTTATCCATAGTACACTGCAGGCTGGGCAATAAGCAGACAGAATTTCTGTGAAGCCTTGGCTTTTGTATTTTTCTGTAAAATACATTTGTTTTAATGACTTCATTTGCTTTTCTTTCATTTTACAATTGAAAACATGAATACATTTCTTGTGACTGAGATGGAGTTGATACAATTTCAGATCTAAACTTGATTTCTCCTTTGTTCATGTCTCAACTGCTTTGCACATCTGCCTTTGAGCTGTGAAACAGTTCACCTTTCAGTTTAAAACATGACTTACTAATATATTAATCTCTCGTTTTGGAGGAGAGGAGGTTTAACTTAACTGATGTGTTTTAATTTTTGTGTTAGCAGTAGATGACCTAATGCTTTATTTTGCAGACCTTAGCGTGGGTCATACAGATTCTTATAACTTAAGACCAATAAGGATCAGCTCATTTAGAGGTTCCCTGCTTTTAGTATTTGTGCCACAATAAAGAGGCACGTGAGCTCTCTGCACGTAGGTGGCCAATGACTGCAGCTGCTGGTGCTGGTGCTCATGCCAATAGCAACAAATGAGCAAAGAAAGCTTGAAATGGTCTTATCTAGCCTGACCTTCTGCACTTCTGGATTTTATCCAGAGACTTCTGCAGTTGGCCAATAACACACGTTCCAAAACAATCTGACTTAATTATTAAAAAAAAAAAAAGTGATTAGAGCTTTGTCTTTGTCATACTCTGTGTTCTGTTAAATTGCTATGGTAACGCTGGTAGCAAGTTAAAATGAAGCTGATTGAAATACTGACTCCAGGAATATTTTACAACTTCCTTGGCTTAGAACAGCCTGCAAATTCTACAGTGTGTTGCATCCCACACTACACTCTCCTATCCTGAAGTTTTCTTCAGCAGGCTTTTCCTTTTTTAGAGCTTGTAGTGGAATTACATTGTTGTGGAATGTTATTTTTTTCACAAGCAGGACTTCCAATCTCTGAAATTTTTACAAGTGCCTGACTTCTTGGTTTGAATTGCAGCTAATTCTTTTGTTTTGAATTTTTTTCCCATCCTCTTTCATATTTTCATGAAATCTAGTGATTTCATATGGATCTACGCACGAAAAAAGATTTTCCTGCAGTGGAACGTGTAAGTTGCTTATTTTAATCTGCAAATAACTTTTTAATTAAATGTCATTGAAATCTGAATTTGTTTAAGCCTGTTTGATGAAAAGAATATAAACATTTTACTGTGACTTGCCAGCTATAGAATTCCCTGATAACTTTTTTTTTTTTTTTTTTTTAGAAAAGAAGAGGCAAAAGAAGATGAAATCAACCAGTGACTGGAGGGAGAGAAGAAACGCCATTCGGCTTACCAATGAGTACACGGTAGAAACTTTGGTGGTGGCAGATGCTGATATGGTCCAATACCATGGTGCAGAGGCTGCCCAAAGATTCATCCTCACAGTTATGAATATGGTGAGTATGCACTTTATTGTCAAAAGAAGAAGCAGGAGTAAATGGATTTTACCTAGGGTAGGTTTAAGCTGGCTTTCTTAACGACTGTACTGGGCAACTGTTTTGACTTTAAGGTGGTATGAGGGTTTTATTTTTCTCGTGTTATGTCTCACTTCTCCCTCATCTGTGTGATTTCCCTGTATTTGTCTAATGACATTACAATACGAAAGCTATTTTGAAACTGACCTTGCAATTTTTCATTTGGGAAGCATTGCATGATTATTCAGGAGTGGTGTGTTCTGCCATATTTTTGTACTCCTGTAGTTTACTTTGGAAGAGAGGTTCCCAGAACGGATAAATGATCTCACCTGACATGTTTCTTGTGTTATTCTAGTTTATTACCATCATTTTCTAAAGATTATATTTCCCAGTGTGTATTTGTTGTAAGAGGCAGTCAAATTGTTACTGATGACAAGAGATTTGTATCGATTTACAGCAGACGAACGAGCTTGACTTGAAGTCTTTTAGAGACAGTACCTAGCTCTGAGTTTTACATAATAAAAATGGCTGCCTCCCTTGCTGTAAACTCAATACCAAACTATCAGCCAATAGGAATTTCAGCTGATTCCATTCTCTTTACCCCTGGACTTGACTTCTTTTGAAGCATGAAGTGTTGCTGCTTGTGCTTCTGAGTAGTCAATGGAGTTGAGCTTTGGAATAATTCTAGGAAGTCTGCAGGAAATCTGCCACGAGTGGCAAGAGCTTTTCAAAGTTCTCAGCGCGTATGTAGTGTGGGTGTTAATTTGTTAGCTGTCCTAGAAGTATTCACCCTCAACTTATTGGAAACACAAAATCTCTCACAGTGGATGCTTGCTCATTCGCTTGTTGGCAGTGGCAATGAAAAGATAACTGCCAAATTAGATGTGGATGCTGAAAACTCTGCTTAGAGACAGCAGGGGTCCTTCCAGAGGCACTTGCTCAAGGAAATCTTGAAGTTTGTATGCCTGTGCCCATGCTATTGTAAAATCCAGGAACAGTTCATTCTCCTGACTACAGCTCTGTTGTTGTTCATGAGCAGTAAATTGGCTTGGGGAAAAAAAGAGCTCTTAACAGTAATTGATTGATCATGCTTCCAAGTGAAGAGATGAATGACAGCTGTTCAGTGCCTAGCCCAGCCATGGGACAGCAGAGCTTTTTAAGAGGTCTTATATTTCTTCACCAAGTACTGGGTGTGAGGGAGCCCTCCTGTAGTGAAATACTTTGCTGATTAAGCAAGTATTTTAACTAGTTTTTTCCGTTAATGAGCTGCTTCTCTCTGTCCCTTCCTCTACCTTTTATTTTGCCATATAGCATGCTGTGACAATAGTCACTTAATAGGGCATCATTGCGTTCTTCGATTTAGTTGGATTGGTTTGTAGGAAGTGTCTTCTTTCAGCAAATCCATTCTTGTGACTATCCTTTCAGGTTCTACTGGCTTTCCTGTGTTTAAGGATGTATTTTCTAGGGGCACAAGAGCCTTATTCTTCTCAAAGTCTTTGTCTACCAAACTTCTAAATTCACATAGTAGCTTTGCAGTGAGCTGACAGGACATAAGCTGATTTGTTCAGAAATGAACTTAAGTCACATTTTTAGCCTGATGCACATTTAGATGTAATGTATGTGTCAGGTCTGAGTTTCTTCCATGTGTCAGATGTTAGGACCTCCTGAGAGGTGATGAATAAACTTTGTTTGCACTGGGAACCCAGGGATTCTCCTGAAATTGGCTCTTTGATGTTTTGTTATTGTGCTGATAAACCATTGCCATTGTGCCTGCCAGTTCTGCTGGGACTCGGACCGTTGTGGCTGAGAAGTCCTGCAGTACATCTTGGCAACATCAGCTTGCTCTTGCTAGGTGTGAGTTTGCATATGAGGATGTGCTGATGGGTTGAAACTTCAAAGCCTGTTTTCTACACTTCAGCCTGTTTGCTGAAACTTAATTTCTAATGGATTTGGCTGATAGACTTGTGAGCTAGGTTTTGATGCTTTAGTGTGAATTCAGCCCTTTATTAGACACCAGAGAGTGCACGTGGATGAGGAGCGTTGGCTGAGGATACATTTATTTGATATTTCCTAAGGTGCAAAGCCCAACTGAAATGCTTCCCACTGTTAAGTCATTGCTCCTGGGGGCTCATCCGTGTGGTTTTTCTGATGTCTAGTAGGATCTGAGTTTGTTTCAGCTTCTCAGCCTTCAAAGAAGCACTGACAGTGTCCTTCACATATGTGTGCCCACCTGCTTTCCCACACTTGTAGAAGCTCAGTACCTTTCAGGGCTCCTCCTTCCAGAGGAGAGTGGTTGAGGAAGGAGTTGAGAAAGGACAGCAAGCTCAGAAGATACTGAGGAATAATAATTGGCAAACGCGTAGATCACATAATTGCATAAGTCTTTTTTATGATGCTATAAAACAAGATGAAATTTGAGGAAATCAAAGAGAATTTTAGCATTCCATTTGTCAAAATGAAAGCAGATCTTCATGCTATCGAAAGGGGCTGAAAAATAATTTAGAAAATGTATTTTAGGAAGAGAGATGTGGTTTAGGTAAGCCTTGGCTGATCTTTTCTTTCAGCCACGCTCTTTGGGTAGTGCTCGAACATAGACATGACAAATCTGTGTGTGTCAGCTCCTTGTTTGTAAAATTACAGTTCAAGGAATGTGACAACTGTGTTTCTTTGGGAAAATCCCCCTTGATGCCTTTCTTGATACAGTATCAGTTGTGTTCTATGTAACCATGCAGCAAAGGCCAGTCTGCTGGGGACCTCTGCTTGCTGCCTGCCTCAGTAGATTTCTGTCAGCCTTCTGTGACACTTTAGCTGGGGGACAGGATTTGCCCCATGATATTAGGCAATGCTTATTCAGCTACACTACAGGATGGCGGGCTGCCTCTAAAAGAAACCAGAATGTTAATTTTGGCTTGAAGGCTTGCATTTAAGCGAACAGAACGTTACTGGTCAGGGGTATATTAACTCCTCTCTGTAAGCCATTACATTTACTGTCAAACCACAAAACAAGCATTAAGAGGTCTTATTAATGCTTTTTATATTTATAGACATTTTAAGCAAAGTGACCTGCCTTCAAGTATTTAATATCTATTTATGTTACAAGAATTTCTGAAAGGGAAATCTACAAAAAATTACAAAATACTGTTTTATTGCTCCTTTGGTGAATGAAAATCTGGGGTGTGGGGGAGATGTGGGCAAGGAGGTGGTGGGAAGAAAAAAAGCAAAACTCATCTGCAATCCGGAAATACCAGGTAGAGCTTCATAGAAGAAATGGTGATGTGTTTCTTAATGATACTCCGCAGTTCTGACCATCTCCCCTGATTAGAGAATAGATTCCCATTATGGCTACTTGTTGTTTCTGAATGTCATTGTAGAGATGCAAGCCCTTCCATTTAATAAACTAATATTTGAAGCTGTATGACAGTTTTTCCCAGGTCACGGAAGGATTTCCCTATGAAGTACTCTGTCATGTATGAGTGGGAACTGAACCTGAGGCTTCTCTGCCTACAGTTAGGAGACCTCAGTGCATTGTCTCTCTCCTGTTTCTCTGAATCTGCTCACAGAAACTGTATTTTTGGACTAAGTCCAGGAGCAGGTTCTGAAGGATTAGACATGTGCAGTTCTCTTGTAGTTTCATGCTTTTTTTTTTTTTTTATCTGTGAGAAGTGGCCAATAAGGCTAAAAGGAGATTCTTTGTCCTCTTTGACAGGTATACTGGCCTCTACTGTGGCAGGTCTTCACAGATAGAGCCTTTGGCATAGTAATTTAATAGTTGCTTTATTTGGCCTTGGGATTCTTAGATAAAAGTGTATTTTTGGAGCTTTGGAATAGCTGAACGTGCCTTTTTCTGAGAGAGCAGAGCACACAGGGATGCAGGGATAAGTTACTATAGTATGTGTTAGTTTTCCTGCAGCTGTTCCTAAGCTGTATGATTAGTGTGAAAGCCCTCTGCAGAAGCAAGCAGTAACTTGAAGTTAGTGATCTTTTGGATGCAATTAAGAGGGAAAGTTTTTATGTTATTCTTGAGGAATAATACTGCTTTACTCTCTGAAGCCTTCTTTAACACTCCACAGCTCGTTTTTAGTCTTGGATTTTTCCTGTGAGAGATTTTTCTATGCTGAAGAAGCAGATAAAAACATTTTTATTATGCACGTATTGATAGATTTACATCTCCATGCTCTTGGGGGCTGGCACGTAAAAGAGCTGCTGCTGATAATCAACTCTCTTGTTCTGATCTACAATTTCCATTATTGGAATGGGAATGTAAGGGAATAAGATATGGATATTTGATCACTTTCTACAGATTTCTCTGCAGCAGTCCCAAGATTAAAATATATATATGTATATATATCAACTGTATCTTATAAAGAAAATGAATGTGCTCTTTATAATGTTTAAGAGGAAAATTTGAAAGCTTGGCTTCAGGTAGGTGTTAGAGATCCTATAGTGCTTTTCAAAACAAGTAGAAGACAACTTCAGTAACCCAACTAATGCTCTTGCTGTCCAAATATTGTCCAGCAGCCAATGGAATGAGAAGGCTGGAGCTTGAATGCAAGGCTTGGGGGTGGAGAGGGAGAGAGGGAGGTAGAGGAAAAGGAAGAGGAATGTGGTGGGGGAATTAAAAAAAAAAAAAAAAAAAAAAAAAAGTAATTCACCCTCAGGGTTGTTGTGCTGAACATCTGAAACACATGCGTCTCCCTCCTACCATCCACCTGCAGAGGAAGCTCTTGAGAATTAAAAAAAAAAAAAAAAAAATTATACTAATGTAGTTGAGTTCCTCTCTTAGCCCAATTCCTCATGTCTGGGTTGCACTTTGTGCATGCTGGGGCAGGTCTGAACTGCTTGTGCTAAAACTGCATTTATTCTGTTCTGTCTGTCAAAACTATAAGGAGAGAAAACTGCAGGAGGAATGCGGATGGAGAAGAAAGGTGACTTGGGCTTCATTCTGTTCTCTAGGGCATTCTTTGTAGTAGGGCTGTGTCAGGGAAATGTGTACAAAGGGAGATGTCAGATGAGCTTTATTCTCTTTCTGCTGCAACTCTTCTTCCATTGTTCTATTTTCTAAGACTCTACCATGCATGTTTACAAAGTACTTTATCTGGGCTTCATAAAATGGAAATTATACTAATGGTTTACATCCAACAGGGTAACTGGTGCTCGTGACTCTTTCAGCTGCATTGACAATTTTTCATCACATCCTTCGGTCCAGTGAGCAAGAACTTCCCTTTCTGTTCCAGCTGAACTGCTCTCTGGTGCTGCAGTGGTAACCTAAAACAGTGACTTTTTGGCAGAGTTTAGCAAACTGTTAGTGGGTTTCGTGCAGCTGACTTCTGTTCCCAGCTGTCTCATTTAATTAAAAGGTTCTAAAATACCCCAAATACTCTTTATTTTCCCATGGCCACAAGGATGTGATAATGCATTTGCAAGCTTGGGGAAGGGTGGCCCGTGGTACTCTGAGTGGGAAGGGAGGTGTCTATGAGTCAGTCTCTATAAATTCATGTTGTCCGTGCAGCAATAAATCTTGAGAACATCTGCACTGGGAAATCTCATTCCTCCTCCCCTGGTACCGATTATCTCAGCCATCTCACGTGGTACTGTTAGCTCATGTGCTGATCATAGCCAGTTGGTTGCCTTGTGTGAATAGGCTTTAACCTGTTGAATGATTTTCTTGTAGGCTAGGGGAGAAGGACAGAAGGTGGTCATTGCCACGATGGGGTCTGATTTCAAGCAGGAAAGACCTGTGAATTTTAATTTCAAATGGACTCTTGGACTCCATGATAATGCTCACAACCTACCTTGAACAGTCTGATCTGATGTTGTCAATGTGCAGCCAAAATGTCAATGATTCACCTGTACTGAACTTAGTCTTGTACTTCTTTGTCAAGTCATTTAAGGACTGGTCACTTTCTCAATGAGGTTCCTTCTAGTCATAAACACAATGCTTTGAGACAGTTTATATTTTTATTTGTTAGGCAAATAACATCTTACCAATACACCCAAATTTATTCTTTAGTGATAATGAGCAATTTGTCATTATCAAAGTTTTTAAGTTCAGCACTGTGATGTTAGGCAATTTGCAGTGTATTTATCTGTACATGCATTAAAGTACTGATTTAAAGTATATAGGAACTTGTCTTACTGCACTAAAGCAAACTTTTGTCTCTCCCTTTTAATCCAGTCAAAGCCCATTGACTGAAAGGTCTTGTTCAGCCTCTGAGGCATTTAGAGTAGGGATCGAAAGGAACTAGCTGCCAGATCTCTGATAAGAGAGGCTCTGTCTCTTCCCTAGGTGGCATAATGTTTAAATGCTTCGGTTGTACTGAAGTAGAACAGCCACTTCTACCAGAATCTCTTAATAGAGTAAAAGATGATTGTTCCTACTGCACAGCAAATACCACCATGACTACGGGGCTTCTTTGGCATCCGTTTAAGAAAATCAGCATGTAAAGCTTGAATAAACATGCAAACAAAAGCCTATTTTGCATATGCAGTGACTTTTTTGTTTAGTATCCATTTTTTTTGCTACAGCCAACAGTGTCCAGTGCTTCTCCAATTGCTGGTAGATGCAAATACAAATAGAATTAAATTAACTTTTGGATGGAGAAAAGGATGAGAGAGTGACAACTTTGGGAATGACAAGATACATTTTCCAGCAATTGGTTTACACTATGCAGGTTCTGTCAGTGAAAACTACCTTTTGAAGTCAGTGGTGTTCGGATCTATCTGTGCAGGGTCTAGAGACAGGCAGCTTATCTCTTTTGATGGAAAGCTCATAGTTCATTAGGCTTACTGATAAGAACTTATCTGCTATACTGCCATTTTATGGCTAGAAACTTTAAAGGATGCTCAGAGCAAGCAGTGAGTAAGCTAGACAAATCAAAAGCATCCATCACAGGATCGTGGCAGATATTCATTAGCCTCTCCAGTGGTGCATGAGAGACTGACTTGATCAGCTCAGTGCCCCACTGACCCACTCAACTGAATGGCCAGCTCTCCATTTACAGATAGTTAAACTGTCAGAGCCCTTCTCTGCAAGCATGAAGTTTACACCCCCCACCCGACTCTCCTCGAGTCAGTAGTGAGAGGCTTCAGCTACTCAACCAACATACCCCTGAGGTAAGTAAATAGTACCAGCACTTGTATGCATTTGTATACCAACCGCAGGGCAGATAAATGGCTCATTGTGCTCATGCTGAAGGTCAGTGGGTCAAATACTGAGCAGCGTCTGTCTTGAAATCTGTGCCTAAATTATAGGAAACATTTAAGTGTATGATTAAATCCCACTCCAAACACTAAAGTCCTTAAGAACTCTCTTACACTGAACACATTCCTGAGTATTTGCAAAATAGGAAAAATACCAAGTGTTGAAAACATAAGACGTGAACATATTTTGGATATTGAGTGTTTTGTAGGAAGTTAACTGGGTCTTTGTGCATTTCTAGACAAATGAGACATGAGTAGGAAATGCAACTTACCTGGGGGCCAAGTCTTGTAGCCTCTACTTAGGCTCTCTTCAGTGGTCTTGATTTGATTGATTGAGAAGGGAATGCAATGTTCATCCAAAAGTTATTATAGGATATTTTAAACCTTTTTAAAATGAACCTCTCATTCATCTTTTTTTTTTGATACAGTCTGATCAATGCATTTGTACACAAAGAAATAGTGAAATAAAATTCCGGCATCAATTCTGGCATCATCTTATGTTCTAATCTATAGAAATGGCATGAAGTATCTGAGCTGGAATGCAAAATCTGGAGAAAGTAGTAAGGTAGTTTCCGGTGCTATTCTTGAATTTCCCGAGGCTTGTGTCATTATGTGCTGCCTTATTACTATTCTCTTCTTATATAAGATATGAAAATAACAGAGGGAAATTGCTTTTCCATTCTATTTCCTGAAGTCTAAAACACACCATTATTTCATCTTGTATTCAGATATCTCTGATATTTAAATGCTGAAGATCCATGTTAGTTGGATCATAATGTATGTCCATGTTCTTGAAACTTTATGTTTAGAGTTCCTTTGAAATATTTCTTTACTTCATTACTTGACAATTCTGTTCTCTCTCATTCAGTCCAATTAAAGGTATTTTTCTTTTTTTTTTTCAACTAGATTATGGGTTCTTCTTCATCGATTTTGTTTGTTTTCTAATGTTTCTGTCCCTGAATGCTGAATCTAACTCATTAGTCTGTGATAAGTTGGTCAGTTGATGAAGCCAAATGCTATACAGTAGGAACAAATGTACTGTATTTTTGTAAGCTACACTGTAGTGTGTGGAACTGTTAGAGTGGCAATACAATAGCTCTTAAAAATTCTTTATTTTTATTGTAGTGTCACAACCCATTTGGTTTCAGTTTGGGTCAGTATTGTGAAGGAGAAATATCTAACTTCAGTCACAGTTCTTTTAACTGCTACTACGTCTTGACATTGTTACTGATGTACTGTAGATGTTTTCTTTGCACTTTAACAGGTGTACAACATGTTTCAACATCAAAGCCTTGGAATTAAAGTCAGCATTCGAGTGACAAAACTAGTTCTACTTCGCAGTCGACCTGTGAGTTCTAATTCATTTTTACCCTCTGCTATAACTGTACTAATATAGTTTTACAGGCAGAGCAGGATCTCTGTCCTGTGTGGGTGGGAAGTATGGGATGTTTGGCCATAGGATCACAAAATGGAACTAGTGTGTGCCATGCTATGCTAGATAGTGTTACAGATGGAAGTACAAGGGACCACAGAAGTGGGAGGAATTGCAGTCCTTTTATGTAGCCTTTCTGAAAAATCTTTGCTTATAGTTATGAGCCAATCTCAGGAGTTAATTGTTAGAAAAACTATACGGCTCTGGTATCAGAAATAAAAATGCCAGATTTAGGAGAGTTTGGAAGCTTGTGATTGCTGCCAGCTGATGGAATTTGTTCTGTATATCAAATGGCAGAGGCCAATGTGGATTACAAAGCTCCTACTTCACCCACTCAGGTGAAGTTGGTTTCATGCTTTTTCATTTTCTAATTTTTGTGTATTTGATCCTCGTTTTTTTTGTGTGTTTTTTTTTTTTTATCAGAGGTATAATGATTTTGTAAACACTGTAGTGAATATTTGTTCTTTTGTATCCCTTTCTATACAAAAGGCCAAGTTGTCTATTGGGCATCATGGAGAGAGGTCTCTGGAGAGCTTTTGTCACTGGCAAAATGAAGAATATGGTGGAGCAAAATACCTTGGTAACAACCAGGTTCCTGGTGCGAGGGATGACACCCCTCCTGTGGATGCTGCAGTTTTTGTAACCAGGTATAATGAGGTCAGGTTTATCAGTTTCCTTAAGCAATACTGGCCCATAGTCTGTGCTGGGATCGTCTGGTCCAGCAGTTATCCAAGAAAAAGATCCATTGATGATGATATGTTTGCTGCCTATGTGCTGTTTGGAGAGCTCAGATGCTTCAGGTGAAGTGTTTAGTTTGTGTGTACTTAACACTGCTGTGCAAAAGCTTTATCACATTTGTCTTGATAGCTTGTCATAGTCAGGATACAGACATGTCTTTAGAACAGGTGATACCTTTTTCTCAGATCAGGTGGTATAAGTGGAAAAGAGGTGAGGTTTAGGAAGACACAAGTCTTCATCCTACAAGAAAGAAGCTGCCAAGTTAAGAATGTGGGTAAGAACAAGCAACTTAAATTTGATTAAGCGTGCATATTGAGTACTCTGAGAGGAGAAGTAGTTGGTACCTCTGAAGCATACAGTGTGTTGGTAGGAAGGAGATGGTGAGGGAGCTATCTCCTTAAGAAAGAGAGAAATGAATACCATAAGCTAAACTAATTTTCTCTTTGCCTTAGGAAATAACCACTTTAACATCCCCCCTCTGTCAATCCTCAAGTCAGTCATTCTTAATTTGTCTGTATGTTTAAAACCTGCTGCATTTATTTCAGGCATGAAACAATCTGTATATGAATGATGCAGAAAGTTTCCCTGTACCTGCAGCAGTGCTTACTGATGAAGCAAACATATTGGAGTATGGCCCAGATACAGTAAACAAAAAGAATATCTTTCATGTTAACTTGTAGTCATTTTTCCTGTACTTTCCCTACCTGAACTCAACCTCAGAGTAAAATGCAAATTCCATGTTCCCTTCACTCATTGTAAGCAAATATCTGGTTGTGTAAATTGTGTACTTTGAACTTAAGAATGCATTGTTTCAGAAATGACTACTGAATAATTAAAGTGAGCACAAAAATGTAGTATAAGATGGCTTCTTTATGTGCTTGAAAGACACTACTTCCTACCTCCCTCTTCCCTAGATTGAGACAGGAAATGTTTGTACTGCAGTTAGATATTGCTCACCTGTGTTACCATTTCTTCCCTGCCAACAGCGCAACTAGAAATGCATGCTTTTGCATAAGCTGCTGTTCTGACTGTAATTGTCTCTTGTGTTAACAGTCACATTGCAAACTATCTACTGGATTGTGGTGAGTGTTCAGTAAAATAGCTGGCAAGCAGGACGTGGGGCCAGCGAAGCTCTGAAGGGTGCACCTTCACAGACATGTGCAATCCCCCCAGATCTTTTTCTCTCTATCATATTCACTGTAGTCCAACCCAAGCACCTAAGCAGCTACTTAGCGTTTTAGGCAGGGTGAGTGGTTCCTTTGAAGTCAATGGGCTGAACATCCTGGTTATAGTTAAGAATGTGTTTTATTGGATCACAGCCTAAATAAATAACTAACATTTTTGTTGAACTCATCTGGGCATCCAGTTGTCCTGCAGGACAAGTGAGGCATACAGAATCTCTTCTGATGTGTTCTAAGCACTGGATGGAGGGAATGAGTGAAGCATTTCATCTGTGCATTCTGCCTGCAGCTTACAAATTGAATGCGTAATGTCATGTTAAATGAGTTTAACTCGGCGTTTGATGAAGAATTGTAGAGATGTTCACTGGGTTCAGTAAATATGCAGCTTTTGTGATGGGAGTAGTTGGAAAACTACAGGTTCAGTTGGGTTAGAAGCTAGGTTTGGATTTTGTGAGAAAGTTCAAGCCAAGGAGCACATTGTTCTGTGTAAGAACAGCATTTCCCTGTTTGATAGGTCACCAGTGCTTGTATCCTTCCTTCTTGCTGTGTCTTGTTATCCTAACCCACCCTGCTTCTGCTGCAAAGAGGATGCTGTGTTCTTGGAAGATTTCTGGCCAAGTAGCCCTATTCCATTGTCAGGGTTTCTACTCTTGGCTTTGGAAGTGTATGTCCCTTGACCTTCTCCAGACTACAACGACCAGTAGGGGATATGGGAGCAAAAGCATGTCCAGTACAAGCAGTAGAATGAGAAAAAGCAGAAGCTGAATTTTCAGCAGCTGCTTTAAGAGTAGGAACAGATTATTTGGGCTCAATCTCTGGAATCAGAGGACTTTCTTCAGTCTTGCTCTGTTCATTTGAAACGCCATGGCATGCTTGGCTTTTGGAACTTCACTTGTAGCTGGTTTTCCCCATGTACTCATTTGTATGCAGAAATAGATGACGACCTTAAGCTGCAGGTAAGGGGAGTACTATATCTGAAATAAGGTGTACCACTGCCCAGTTAGGAGTAAGGTAAACGAGACAGTGGTAAAAATTTCTGAAGGTTTGAATGTAGTGCAGTGGTTTCTAGAATCATCACGCTTCTGTTGTTCAAATTCTCATTTTGAACTTAAAGAAATTCAAATCTCTGGCATTTACAGGTAATACACTTCATATTTTAATGGGCAGCTGACCAGAATAGTTTCTTTCTGCAGAATCTGTATCTTAGTGATCCTAGAAGCATGTTTCATTTAAAACACGTTCTCTCTGTTGATCTTCTATTCTTTGCATTCCTCAGAAAATCTTCAGATATTGTTGCTCTCCCAACTTCTTGGCCGTTTAGGTCAGTCATTAGAGTATAGGTGATAAGGGAGCATAGCAGAGAATCAATCAGCACTGATAAGAACGTAATTCAGAACTGTTACTCAGCAAAGACTTGTGATTTTTTTCTGATGAACTGCTGTAGTTATTCCATTTGCAGCCTACTTTTTGCCTCTGCATTTCTTCAGCTCTTCACCATCCCATTAAGTGGGCAAGTGAAGCAATTCTGTATGCATTTAGGAAGCTGGGCACGTAGTGCTACTAAATATATGTTTAGGGTAAATTTTTTTACTTTTTGGTAAGGTTTTGCCTGTACCCATTTCCTCTGTCCTTTAACTTTGTGACCCAGCAGGGTTAAACTGGTCAAAAGATATCATTTGAAGGATGCTGATAACTGACTATTAAACAGGATACTTCTCATTCATGCTGCACAGTTCAACTACTGTCCTCCTTTCTTACAGGAAGGACTTGAATTGCAGAATTTAGCTTAGCACAGTTAGGTATTTTTTTCCAGTTCATGTGAGCCAGATGGAAGAGTGACTTTAGGAGGAGTTCTGAGCTTCTTTTCTGGCTCTCTTTATTGAATAAAACAACTCACTTATTGTCATTTTTTCAAAGGAATTGTTTAATCTTGCTAATGAAAACATACTCCACGATAAAAGTGATAATGACTGAGAATTTCAAAGATCCCTAAGAAGTCAGAACACATGCACTGCTTGATTCAGCCGGTGGCTAGAAGTGGAGAAGAAATTTACTTCACTGCCATAGCATGCGATTTCAGTACATTATCCAAGACTTAGTGTGATTAGGTCTGATCTGGCCTTGGATTTGAATGGCAGCTCCTGGAATAAGTTTTGTTCCAATATAGCTCTGTAAACCATCCTGCTAACATCCTGTAGCATATCCACAGGTGAGACAGATCTTTCTTAATGCCTGTATGGTCTGCAGTCCCTCTCATGATTTTCCAGGAAAGGACTATGAATTTCAATGTGTAGATTTTATTTAGGCAGTATCTTGTCTTTGATAAAAGACTGAGATCCACTGAGCTCACTTGAATGTGCTTTTATGTTTGACCAGAGTTTTAAGGTAAAACTTAAACAATAAGTCTAGGTAATTTAAAGCCTAGCATCTTCATGCAAAGCCTTTTAATAGAAGGAAGTATGGTGTCTCTTGGACTTTATGGGACAGGCTGGGAAATCTCATACTTGCAAGTCTACCTGCAGTGAGCTGGGTAATTATGTTCAGTTCTTTTTGCTGACCTATTTCAAGTCCTAATCTGACCAGACAGCATCACAGCACTCTCTTCACAAACCAGGATTGTTCTACCTCTCTATGAGAGCCTGCAATTTATGCTGAATTACTTATAAATCTCTTGTCTTATGGCATGGTGGCAATTTCTCCAGAAAGCTGCCCACAAGTGCCAGGCACCCTTCAGTGTAGATCATGAAGTGCAAGGAGCAAAATTTGCTGTGCTTTGTTTGCAGAGCCAGCCAGCCCCTGAGGAGAGAAGCTTTTCTAACAATGGCCCTTTGCCATTTACTAATAGTTCAGCTATCTGTTGTCACAAGAAAAGCATCTGTTTGATTTACCAGTTTATATAACATAATAAGTCCTTAAATAAACCTCCGTCAAGTTGGCCCTGGGAACTCAAGCGGGTGTGCTTTTGCCAGCTCTGTCAGGAGACTGTCATTAGTCTTCTTTGGAAGGGCTGGAATGCCAAGGTGTCGAGACACAATAAGGCTGCAGTGAAAAATGAAAGCTGGGGCTTGTGTGTGGTCGTAGCTTCCAATTTTGTTTTGTTCCTATCCGATTTTTAACACGTTTATAGTTGCTACATTTTTTCTGAATTGAAGCATTCTGAGATTTCAATATCTGCATAGCAAGAGGTAGTAATAGTTATTTTTCCAAGCCTTTGGCAAACTGATTTCTCATTTCTGAAGAGTTTGGTGTGAAGGTTTTGGGTTTGTTAGCCTCAATCCTGAGCCTTACATACCTTTTCCTATAAAGCCTAATTTCATATTTTTTATTCATGAAAGAAGTACTTCTAATCTTTCTCCATTCTTCTTTCTGCCACACTCTCAAATTCAAAATCCTTTCTGGGACTTGAGCATTTCAAACAACATGTTCCAGCTGTGCTCGTGTGATTCTCTCACTAGCCTTGCCTTAGGGTGAGGAAAGCCACAACAGAGATCATGGTTTCTTGGCTTTCCTTGGGCTAAGGAACTTCAGAAATGTACATGGTGCTTTTCTATTCCTCTTCATAGCAGATGGTGCTACAAAGCAGGTCTGAAGGTAGTTCCTAAATGTTTAGGCCTAATTGCTTATTTAAATATATTCAAACCATTAATTTAGTTATAAAATACTTCTTCTCTTCCCACGCTTGTTATGCTCTTATGAGGGTTCTCATTTACAAAATCTTCTCACTTGAAGTGATATTACTTATACAGTGAGCTTCAAGGGTTTTTTTTTTCCTGCTTCTGTTTAACAAAGATCCATGGATCTCTGGCAGGATGTGTGGATGCCAGTGTCATATGTAGTATCTTTTCCTGCTTTAGTGAGATTCAGGGAGACTGGATGAGATGTGAAGGAATAACAGAGGGAAGATAAAATCCTTTAAACTTCTGTTTTGGATTCCAGTCATAACATGGCAGAGTTGACAGTAATATATTTAGCTGAAGCCTGTTCACCTGGCTGTTATGTGGAAAATTCTGAATTTTTTTTTCTGTACCAACATCTGTCATTCTCTGTTCAGTCCTGCTTCTTCCTTGTCCTTCTGTATTGCAGTGAAAGAAGAACTGAGAATTTCTGGGTATAGATGATCAGTTCTGTGTCTCCAGGCAGTGACCTCACTTATTATTTCCTGCTACTTTTGATAATACAGTTCTCTTCTCAAAACGAGAGATTCATTATCAATCCAGGTGCTGAAGTCTGATTTCCTACAGATAGTCTCATATATGATATTGCAGTACTCTTTGCATGCAAGATCTGAAGTATTAAATAAGATAGTAAGACATGGAGCTGATTCACATAATTTCTTGTAATCTTGCAGCAGCAATTAGTGTTGCTGTGTTGTCATTGTGTAGACTGCACAGCAGTTAAATAAAAACCAAAATCCCTCTACTCCCATGATAAGTGAATCATGCATCACTGCTTTTTCCTAGCCTGGAGTCTGGAGGCACAGGGTACGTTTGACTTCTGTTCTGTTTTGCTTTCTAGGACAGATTTCTGCGTACACAAAGACGAACCTTGTGACACTGTGGGTAAGTCAAAGAAGTAGGGGAGAATATTTTGATAGCCAACTCTATGCTGAGAGGAGCTTATGGGGCAATCTTTCATTATTTGATTTAATGTAATGCTGCGTTTGCTATTCTGAATACCTCTGTGATGCAAATACAGATTAGTATGGGATATGAACTATAAATAATCCTTTAAATACTAACCCTTGTAGGCACTGGAGGTTTCTGAGTTTAGGAAGTAATCTTAAGTAACCTTACATTTTTGGAGCAGTTGTAGAATTTGATAATTAGAGATTAAGAAATTGTATGTTATTATGTCTGTAATGTTCCTTCCAGTGCTCCCTCGCCTCATTTCTCAAACAAGAATTTGCTAACTAATGAATGTATTTGCAGCAGTAAGAACCTGTGTAACACTCACAGATCAAACTGGCACGTAGACACGGAGAAGAATACCTCATTGTAGGAAAGCCAAGTTAAATCTTCTTTTCCGCCTCCTGCTTCCTAACTGCCTTTAATCTTACCCAAGCCCTGGATTCACAGAGTCCTTACATCCTACACGATCCATCTATTTATTTATTCTACTGAGGTATCAGTAATCTTCACTGTATCTGTTCATCTGGTGTGTTTTTTTAATCTTGACAGTAGCAGCTGTGTGTGGAGGCATAACTCAACATCCTCTCTATAATGATTACATTACTTTGACTTTGAGGCAAGTAAAAAAAAAAACAAAAAAAAACTGCCCACTATCCCACATACTGTGTGAACTTGGAGTGGATCCTGACTTTCAGCTGATCTTAAACTTCAGGGTTTGCAGAGGCTCTTGGAGACCAGGAGTCTCTACTAACAGCAGCAAGTGATGAGGGACATGGGGTATCCTTAGCAGGAGTTCTGGGGCTGCTTATAGAAATCTCATTTCAGAATGCAGACTCTTCCTTTGTGTTATGGAGTCTGACCAGGTGAAAGGAAATAAAGAGCTGAAAAATGCATACATTTTCTTTTTAAACATGAGCAAGGCTTATATGTTTAAATTTTCCGATGGGAATCCCTCACAGTGCATTTGTTCTTTGTCCAATTGAAAACACACTTCTACTACAGAGGAAGGTTTTTTGTGCCTGCATCTGAAGATGCCTGTGGTAAGATATAATGTAGAAATAAAGAAGAAGAAAAGCTGATGGAAGGAAGATATATGCTGACCAAGGTCAGGGCTTTTTTCATTTTTAAAGACAGTGATGTTGAAGATCTCTATTCGGGGAATGTTGTAGACAGCATAACTAAGGAAATATTTTTATGAATTTTTTTTTTGTTCATAAACTACCCAAATACTTTCTTGTGCTGAAGTCTAAAGCTCCGGTGGAAAAAGTGGAAGATCAGAGTGATAAAGATTGAACTTGTTAGATGCTATTTCTGGTGGAGTTTTTTGTAGACTTTGAGAAGATGGATGTTCCAATGAGGAAAAACAGTTTGGTCTCTTTGCTCTCTTCAGTCCTACTTTTCTTTACTTTTGGTGTTAGCATCTTCGCTTCTGCATTTCCTATGCCCTGCTGTTTCTGTTGTTGGAGCCCAGAGTCAATGTGCAGATCAAGTCTTTCATCATAAGGTACCTACTTAATTTTTTTTAGTACTGTTGAATTAAGTAAAAATTTTGATGGCATCCATTTTCGAGCATTATTGCCTGTGCCCAAGTTGGTGGAGCTACTGCAGTTATCTCAGATCAACTACCTGCTTCGGCCCTTATCTCTGTGTTGCATATTTTGAAATGTTTCTTCAAAACTCCAAGAGTAGGAACTCTTCTGGTAGGCCTGCAGTCTGAGTGAAGTCCACCCAAGTTACGCTGTATGTTGATATTTCATCTGTCGCTGCCTTGAGAAATAGCATTTATGCTTGGAGCCTGAAAGAAGGTAACAAACAATTCTTCTGGTTGTCAGATTTCTAAGGAGAAATGCAGTAGTGTGGTATGAAATTGGAGAATGGTGGATTTTGGGGGATTCACATTGAGAAAAGAATTCATGTTTTATGTTTCTGAGTTCTTACACGAGTGCTAAAGCCGTGGATAGTATCAGATAATTAAGGGCCACATGTCTAATGACCTGAATCAAACATATTTGTGATTTGCATGGAGATCATTGACTCTGCTTTTAGTATAGCAGTGTTTTTAAGTTCACTTCCATTTTTCTGTCGAATACATGGGTGATGTAATTATATATGGTTTTTTTTTCTGCTGATGAAAGTTTAGCCAATATGAATTTTTTTTAATGTTACAGATGTTAGGCCAGAACAGAATTTGGCATTATGTTGTTTATGTGCATCACAGCAGAGGAAGAATAAACTAAAGAATATACTTCTGTGGCATACCATCCATTTAAAAAAGTGTTTAATGTTTGTAATGCTAAACTTTAATTGTGTGAAAGGTTTTCCAGTTTTCCTCCTTAATCAGAACAGGGATCTGTTCTGATCTGATCTTTGTCATCACAAAGAAGTAGGTTTTAATAGCCACCTCCATTCTGTGTCCTGCATACATGGATTAAATAAGTAACCATGTAGTGTGGAATTTTCTTCAGTCTATTATTAATGCAACAGTCAAAGTAGGCTGATGCCCACTGATGAGCAATACTAGCTTCTAAAAAACTATGCTGATACTTCAGCCATCTCTGTTGTTGCTAGGTTCTTATTCCTCACTCCAGCACCCACAGTCATTTCCAAATCATCAAATGTACCTACAAAAGCAAGAAGCTATTCCAAAGAGTGACATTGCATTTGGTCTTGAAGATGATGCTGAGATTACAGTAAAGTTCTGAAGAACTGCAACTTGCTTTCATTTCTTACCTTGCACTTCGCTTTTGTATGTGAAGAACTGGCTCATCAGATGCATGTGGTTTTTTTACTCTCTTATGGATAAAGCTGGCCATTGCAATGTGATGCCCTTTAAAGGAAAAAGCATCTTCTTGGTGAGCAGGCCATCTCCTAAACTAGGAAACTGAGGCTGCTGCTCTGTATGAGGTGTAGAATCTGGACTCTAGAATACTGACTTTTATTCCCAGCTCTGGCATTGGAGCTCTGTGTGACATTTGGCAAGTCACTTATGTTTGGAATGCTTCTGTCTACCTCTATGAAATGGGGATTTTAGTGCAAAGCTACAAGAGATTGTATAGCTTAAGTAGTTCTTATATAAAGCTGTATGATGCATATATATATATATATAAAATGTACAGTGCAAATGTGAGTCAGCAATCTAATGTTGCTTAGTCATATACAGACTCCATTAGAATATTTGCACTAAAATTAGTTTATTTAAAGCATTGTAAGTATTTTTTTTGAGGGGGGGAAGTGGGACAGTACTTTGATTTTTTTTTTTATTTTTTTTTCTTTATGTTGTGAGAAATTTGCAATCAGAAGTCTTGGTGGAAGTATTGAGGCTCAGCTGTTGTTTGGAAGTGGGATTATGAAATTTAAATGGTTTATAAGAGGTGTTCATTTGTGCTCAAAAAGATCCATATTGAAAAACCTGTCTGGAATCTTTGCTTGCTATGCAGACACAGAGAGAAAACAGCAGCAGGAGGTTTGTATTTGTATTCTGGCAGGGGCCTCTCTCTGAAACCAGTTGCTCTGGGGACTTGGTTCAAATTTTCTTGGCCCAGCTGCCAAGGTAGTGTGGAAGGTTACATAATGGCTGAAACAAGCTCAAAAATTGTGAAAATATGTAGGTATGTTTTTGTGGGGTGATACCCCACTGGCTGTGTCAAGCAACAGAACCACATTTGTTTAAGGAATATTTTATTAATGCTTACTGCCCCACTTGGTTTTGTGAGTAAGCTCTAAGAATGAATGAATTCAAAAAGGAGGAGGGGAGAAGAAAACACTACGCCTGCATGCAACACATTTGCCACAGTTGTGTTTCAGTAGTCTTGGTTGCTGGTACCTCTGATAGGCTCTGCAATTTGATAGCAGGAGGTTTGCTTTGTGCAACATAACCTTGACACACCAGTCAAAAAGTTTGCAGTCTGCTGCTGCTTCAGACTCATCTCTCGTGATGTGACTCCAACCAGGTCTGCTGTTTCCTGCAGAAAAATCTTTGTTCCAATTGAGCTGCCTCTAAGCCAGCCAAATTGAGAGTTTAATGTCTAGCTATTAATATCAAGCTGCAGCTTGGAGCCTTGCACGTTGTAAGGATCCAACCTTTCTGTGACATAAGCAGATTGAGAATGCCCCTTTCGTTCAATATTTCCACTGCTAGTGCCAAAAAAGCAGCTTTATGGTTAGTTAGGAATGATCCTGCATATTTCAAGGCAAAGCTTGGACTTGATTCCTCAGTGTACATGTTACCCCAGATCCAAGCTGAAGCTTCGCTGTATTCAGCTAATAGTAAAAGTAGGGGCAGTATGGAATTGGGAAATGGAAAATGAGAAAGTGTCTTAAATATCCTTAAATTGCCCTGGTTAAAAATGTCTTTACCTATTCTGCAGTCGCATATGCTTTCTGTGGCTTGATGTTGGGGGAAAAGAAAGCAGAATACAGTGTATATACTGCAGACAGGCAGGTTTAGTTGAAGAAATAGCTGCCTGGAGAAAACCGAGCATCAGAGCAGAAATGATTGAGAAAGTTTTCCAAGCTGTTTCCACAAGTGAATCAGTGTGTTGTGAAAAGCAATCCCATCTCCTGACTGGCTTTAACTGAAGGGCTCCAAGGTAACTTAGTAAAGGGGCTCTGGGGGTTATAAATTCTTGTGTAGTTTGTGTCCTGTATTTATTTGCCTCTTCCAAGCACAGACTGATGTGTGTGGTTTTGGTTTTGCCAATGTTGCTGCTTGGTAGCTGTGCAGATGATGTCCTTCTGCTGTCCCAGTGCGTTCATACCGTGTCATTTCTTCCTTTCATGAGAAGCGCCATCATGGAGAGCTGCATCCTGTGGGGCTATTGGCTAATTTTCCTCTCTTAACAATTACACCCTGATCTCTTCTTATGAGTACTGTAGCATGGAGTTTTTAAAATATGTCCAGGTTTTCCAAATCTGACATTTGGTCTACTCAT